AATCAGCTGGGAGCCTGTAGCCAATGAGTGCTGCTCCTCAGCGCATGCCCACCTGCATGGGTATAAAGCTCTGCTGCAGACAACAGCAGAGCGGAGTTGACCTCACTTTGTGCGGAGGTGTTGTTTGCTCTGGCTTGTGGGGAGGGCCCTGGTGCGAGAGTGACCCTCGACATATGGGGAACCTCTGACAGAAGAGGTTTCTGGGGACTATTGCTCTGTTCTCTTTATATTAATTTAAAAGAATGACTATACATTGTTCTGCTATTCATCTAATAAGACTATTTTTTTAATATTACCTTCATGTATATCCTTATCACTATATACCCACCCCCCTTCCTCCTCTATCCTTTGGAATCCTTGCTATAGTAACTGCTCTTAAAGAGGCATGGTCTAGTAGCTAGATGGATATGCTGGATCTGAGAGGACATCTTAAGCAATAGGAAGAAATTGAATGATATGGATTTTTTTAGGGAGTTGGATGAAATCCACTTATATGGATCAATGCACTTACTTATGTAATCACATACACTTATGTGTTCCTGGGCTGCACAAGATAAACCTATAGGAAAAGAGCTGTAGAACTGTTAGAACTGTTTCTTACAGAGGTATTAAATTAACTCCTTTCATGTGAATTGGTTTGGCCAGCTGCAAATTGACAATTAAAATAGTGTTTAGGAGACAAAAAAAAAAAAGTAACAGTGAACAGTGCAGTCCTCAGTTCAGCATGGAACAAGATCAAGATTTTGGTCCAAAGCCCATGGCAGTTGGTGGATGCTGGATCAATCTATTGGCTCCTGTGTATAAAGCTGATGAGTTGTGATCTAAAACAGCAAGGCTGCTTTTAGAAGTCAGAGATTTTCTCTTGTTACAGATGAGCTGAGTGTCTAATAGAAACAGACTTTGTTCTCCTTTTACTACCCTTCGTTTTAGTCTTTAATGCCTCTGCAAGGTTACTGTAAGGTGTGTGTCTTTTATACGCGTTGCATCTACTTTTATACGCGTTGCATTGGCTTTATTGCAATACTTGTGATGCGAAATAATGGCTTATTGTGTATGCACCATTAAGGCTTCAATGAAGGGAGGTATTTTCTCCTGAAAGGTACCTTTATTTCATAACCAGGGCTCTTTGGCAGCCGAACAGAGAAGAAAGTGTTTGCAAGGCTTTTATGAATGCTTGGAAGAGAATCCTTGTCTAGAGCTCTGGCATCGAGTGCAAGTATTCTTCTGCTCTTCCTTCCTATCTGCTCCACATAATATCAAAGAGGATTTTTCTTTCTCTAAGGCATCATCTTTGTCACCCCCAAGAGTGTATTTATGATGGAATTTGTTTTTGTATGAAATTGAAAAGAAGCATTTTCTTGGTTATAAAATGTAGGATTTTTCTGCATTTTATTGACTGACATTTTTTACAGATTGTTACTTGGTTTTCCTTTGCATCTAGATATATAAGCCCCCCATTACGACGTTTTGTGGGTAAAAGTAAATGTTATGATCAATGTGGCCCTGTAAATGAGCCCTCCACTTTGAGAAAGAAACTGCCATGTTGATCAGCTTTGCTCCATTCTCTTTCCTTCTTTCCTGGCCAAGAAGTCCTTCTTTTTTGGCTATACCCCGCTGCTCATGCCAAGATAAGAGTAATAATAGCTTCTTCTTTTTTTTTTTTTATCTTCTTTTTTTTTTTTTTTTTTTTTTTTTTTTTTTTTTTTTGCTTTACTTGTTGAACCGATTAAGAAAGTACTGGGCTGTGGTACAAACTTACACTAAATATTGCCTTAGACCTGGCAGGTTAGCAACCTAGATGAGTGGGTGATGAAGAGGTTAGCAAGCGATAAGAGCTGCTTGCCCTTCCAGACAGGCCTCCTTTTACCCCGTCACTTTGAATGTCTCCATTTGCAGTGTTTTCCCTGTGATAGGTATATGATAGAGCATTTTGCACAAAGAGACGACTGCAAAGCTCAGAAGAACAAAATGCCTCAGCCTGCGGATGCCAGCGCAGCGCTGTGGCTGGGAAGGACTCCTGTGGGAGGATATCTAAGTAACAGAGGCTTCCCGACAGAAGACGGATACAATGAGCCCGACTAAGACCAAGGCGAAAAGATCGTGGGAAAGTCACGAGCTGGAAGAACACAGAAGTAGGCGAGGAAGAACCTGTAAACAAGCTTATCAGTGCAGGATAGAGGACTGTGTGCGGGCCAATCATGTAAACGTGTGCCCTGATATCTACAGCCAACCTAGTACGGTAGAAGACATGTGGACAGTAGTATGTAACCAATTGCAATGTAAGCGTACGCGTGGCTAGATGACTTAGCAGAAATGTAGTAGATAAAGAGTGCTGTAACGTGAATAAAGCAACTCCCGCAGACTCCTCTCCTCTTGCAATGTTGGCAGTAATTTGGGGCCATTGTTCTTCCCAGCAGAGGGCAAAACAAAGTATTTATTCCAAAATACACCAGCGATGCGATAGTCGAGGCCTCACTGCTACCTACAGCAACCTCTCCCTTTTGAATCAGTGTCAGCTCTCAACTAGTAAATTGACTCATCTTTCATTTCAGGAGCTCAGAAAACAGAACAACAAAAAAAAAAAACCTCTAAAACCCCATCTTTATGCCAGTTGTCTTAGCAGCAGTAAGCACAAAAAAACCCTCTGACTTTAATAAAAAACACGGACATATTAGACAATCAAAACCATGTCAGCTGAGAAAACTTGTAAAGTGACTTCTAGATTACTGATACCCTTTGGCCTGCCCTGGATATTCAGTGACTAGGAAATTACATTTAGCCACAACAGCCATGACTTGAGAAATGGAGTATTAACACCTCAGTGCGCATCAAACACTAGGTGTTGCTTTTCCTCTCGGGCTGCAGCAGAAAAGCAAAGCAGGAGGAAATGTTGGTTTGGAAGGGCTGCTGGTGGGGCTGGAGCTGCCCTTGCTTTGCTCCTGAGCCCTCCACGTCCTGTCCTAGCACCTGAAGCCCCCAGATCCACACACTAAGGCCATTCGGATGCATAGCAAGGCAGGTGGCTCCGACTGCCGGCGCAGTCGGCTTTAAGCCACGCACAGAAGTGTGAAGAGAGATAAGCAGCTCTTTTTATCACGAACACTGTAAGACAATATCTGGGTTGTGCAATGTGTTCCTGTCAGATGCTCTCTGTCTGTTTACATACTTTTATTTTACTCACTTTGCTGGAAGCCCTTTATGCCAGCTATGGGAAACTTTTTATTTTTGGAAAGTTTTGTTAGAGGGAGGTGGTACACAGAGAACTTGCAGCAGTTTCAACTGTTTTTTTCTGAAGTGAATAAACTATCAGAGATAGAAGAACTTATTCTTCTTTTGCACAAAGGCAGCTCCCATTGTGACAATTAGATTTCCCATAATTTCTATGATTTTGTTCTCATCCATGCCTATAGATTATTGTACCTATATTGATCTTCAGTGCCGACCATGGAGCACCGAGTAGATGCACAGGGTCTACCCTGATTCATTGCCTAGATGGGGCTTTTTATCTTAGGAGATTCTTAGAAAACCTCCTGTCCTTCCATCCAGAACAAATGAGGATTTAACTATACCATATTCTAGTTTTTTAAGAAAAGTCTGTAATCTCATTTTAAATAATGCAATATGTTCTTCTCCATCAAATGTATTCACAGCCTAGCAGGTAATTCCATTGAGAAATGTTCTCCCGTAGTCATCCTCAGGTCTGGTTCATCCGGTTTAAGTTCATTCCTCCTCCTACTGTCCACAAGAATGATCTGCGACGTCTCAGCCTCACTGGACCCTACAACGGTTTGGTGCAGAGAAGCCCTGCAGGTTTTCCTGTCTGCCACATGTGAGCCTTGCGCCAGAGCTCAGTGAAGAAGCAGCTGGGCTGGAGCAGTCCAACCACCTGCAGCTTGGGGTTCGTGTGGCTAGGTGAATGGCTGAAGACAGCACAGTAAAAAAAGTAGTGGCACCTACAGACCAAGTCTGTAGTGGCACCTACAGCCAGATTCATTTAGACATGGATAAGAGTCAAACTCAGTACTAGATCCCAAATCCTTCCAAGCCCTGGTGCACAGTTTGCTTCAACGTTCTGATGCTCAGCTTCATTATTGTTCCAATGCAGCTTCTAGACCACAACGTAAAAGTATTTACTCTGCAAATTTAGCAACCTGAATTCAGCCTCGGAGAAAATACAGCACATTAAACCAAAGAGCTTTGCACTCAGGAGAGGGAAGGGGGTGACACTGCAGCCTGGAGTCAAAACCTGTCTGTGAGAGGAAAAGGGAGTGTTGTGTGGAGCCCTCTAGCACAGCACATGTGGACGCACTTATCTGGATCCAGAAACCATTATGAGCATGGCTGCAGGTGTGAGTGCAGCACTAGCC